ACAAGTCAAGCACCAAGCCTGCATCTTTGTGGCTATGCCTCTAGAAAAGCCACACTGATAATACAATTCTCTTAAACAGAGTACACAAGTAATTCACATTGTCTCCCTAGGCTGGACTCTTATGCCTAAAAGAGCTTTTTAGAATAGCCTTACTACGGACCATGATACTGACCACTGTTTCCACTAATCAAGTACCATTAGGAAAGAGTTAGATAGGAAGGCTTTAACTACTTCTGCATGTCAATGATGTCACATTTGAAGAGGCTTTACTCTTAGAATGTAGGGATTTTGGTTTGGGGAGTTTTGGTTGGCTTTTTTAAATGGAGTTCCACATAGTCAAATTGAGTTACATTAAGCCAGTCACTGCACAGGGCACCACACAAATTTTGAGGAGCTCCTTCTCAGCTTCCCCATTTGTTTAGCTGTCAGTTTCACCACCAATTCCCACTGCATGGGAACACCTTGGACTACACTAAAGCACCAACTCTAGTATCCAGTGCAGGGAGATAGCCCTTCACACCATAAAAACAGCCCCACAAAACAAACAACATAATCTCAAGGTCTACAATTCCCTGTACCAAGCTCAGTCTTCTACAGAAAGAGACCTTAAATTGAGCCCTGAAATTGTCCAGAATTGAACACCACTTGCTGTTATTTACATGAGACTGAATATGAAGCAGCAAAGGAAATGGTCCCATTAGTCCTCCCTATTCAGTTGCAGGAAAGCTGGGAGGCTTCCAGGCTTTACTTAAGGCCTTTTTTCCAAACATTTGGTGAACATTTACATAAGAAAATTAAGCTGTATTGATTAGTTGAAGGAAGGGTTGCTAGATTGTTTCCAGAAGGAGTAGACAGAACATGATCATTACCTATGAAAATGAAGTTATTTAGGAATTGCAAAAAAGGTTATCAGTCATTACCATTTCTCAGACAGCTGTGCATGCTGTACATTAACAAGGCTGCAGTCACTGAGCACAGTGAAGGCCATTACCATTGACTGAATCCCTTCCTGCCTATTGCTTTCCCATCCAAAAAAAACTTTAAAGACAAAAACAGTTGGCAAGGTAGGCATACTAGTCTCCTATAGCAATAACCATTGCTGAAACACACACAAGAGCACATTTAAGATGTACACAAAGGTGAAATTAGTGAAGTGTTACATATAACTTCCAAAGAAAGTTACAAACATAGCTCAGAACCAAACCTGAGGACACAGCCAAGGTTATACTTGTACAGTGACTTCTCACAGTGTAAGAGGACAGTAGTTCTGCTAGGAATGGAAGTCAGCATGGAACTGTATGTTGCTTGGTACTCTATAGCAGCCACAGTATAAACCATGAGGTTTGGCTGTCTCCAACAGTCATTTAACACTTATTTCCAGCAACTCTTGTCTTTCTTGCAGTATGAGTTTTAGATTTAGAAAAACATCAACATATAGTCTTCTAGTTTTAATTTGGGTGAAAGCAGAAAACTGATGTGCCTATCAGCATGAAAGCTTCTATCTTTACTTACTAGATTTAAGCTTTATATTGGGAAGATTTGCTATCTCTTACCCTTAAATACACTCAAGCTCAACAGCATTGTATTCTTAGAGATTAAGACCTTTTAATAGGTCAAATACAGCCCAATATGAATGCCTCCTTTTCTAGAGTAACCCAAACCAGGGTTTGGTTTACAGAGCTGTTTTCACCTCTAGAATTCACATCCACTAACAATAAACCTGACCCGAATACTACTTTACAACTGCTCTTTCATCCTGTCTGGAGGCCTAATGAAGATGGATATACTGTATTTCATACAAAGACAGAAGCAATAAAACATAGCCTGCCCAGGAGGGCAAAAGGTATATGGCATTAAGCAGGAAAAGAATTCAGTTTAAACTGAATGGACTTTCGTTACAATCCTGACATTACTGACAAAGCACATGCTGACCTTCTTGTATAGGATGCAGAGCATTCTAGACAACCTTCTGAAAATTTAACAGCACTTTCAGGCAGAGCTTTTGCAAGCACTTTTCAGCTTGCATAAAAACCATAAAACAAACTCTCATACAGAAAAATCAAACTAGAAAACATTAATCCTCCAAATTCTCAAGGCAGAACATCATTCTCTTTATTCTTAAAACAAAATGCACACTTCAGACATTTGTCATGCCCCTTCTGTTCAGCAAGATATTTGCTGCAGTCATTTCTCCATATGTGAGAATAGTGTTGAGCAGTACAGAAAGTGGATCATACCCCCAGAGGAGAAAAAGGCTAAAAGTGATCAGATTAAACTAGACTTAAAACCTCCAGTGTGTATAATCTTAGGAAAAAAGAGAGCAGGAAGATAACTAATTGCTTAGTACAGCAGTATACAAAGGACATCACAAGATTAACCATTCTGGTAGCTCCAGTGACTAGGCATAAATCTGACAGTACCACTAAAGTATAGTTTGTGTTTAGTAGTGTAGTAGTTTGTTTATGTAGTAGTTCAGGTGTAAATGAGGAGACAAGATACAGGACAGTCACAGGGATCAGAAGCTTAATTTGGGGGTTTGGAAGTGACTTCATGTGATGCAAAGTTCTGCATTCTCTAACCACAGTTTTCATATTGAAATGACTCAGCACACATTGTCACTATATTTTCCAGTAATTGCAACAACCTTAAGTGAAATATTTGCACAATGACATGCATCAGGAAATAATACAGTTCTCTGCAGCAGCACCACAGGAATAAAGTTGAGTTTAAAACTGCGTTAGAACTTGGGAGCTATTCTCACTTCCCAGTTTATATTGTAATGTGGGTGAGCTATAAGTTAAAAACTACATGAAAAAAATTATAGCCAGGTTTGACATTAGAGGCCTAACATTTATCCTTTACTGCAAAAGGTAAGTTATTGTTGTAACCTTGCCTTGAAGTACATTTTAAAGAGTTTCTGGAGCAGTCTTTCCCAGTGTAAGGGAGAAACACTAGCGTTCTGTTTATTACAGCAGTGTTTATTACTTATCATTGTAGCAGTTCTTGCATATATTTAGCAAAAGATACAAGTTGAAATAATGAGTGTAGGGTAACTCCTCCTACATTAGGAATTGGGGCTAGAAAAAGAAATTTAAATGTACAAATGACTGCTGGATATGCACAATGAGTGCGGGAGGCTTCCTTCCCCCAGACTACTTATTATATTCATAAGTTAGTAGGCAGTTTATAACCACTAAAAAAACCTCAGAGAGTAAAAGGGCCCATCTAGAAGGTATTTCCCCAGCTATTCTTTTTTGCAATCAAGGTTACCCCATCAATACCAACAGTATAGCAAAAGTTCCCCTATCTTGCTAAAATCCAAACTTTACATCATCTGAAGCCACATAACTCAAGAGAGAATTGTGTCGGTTGCATTTAAAACCTTAATATCTCATCTGGAACACTGATAGACATCTGAACAAAGTTCTTCCAAGTTTTTCTCTTTCATAGGAGATTAACAGTTCTGGAATCCTCCAGAAGCTGTGTCATTAATGAGGAAGAGATAGATGACCAAGGGTTATAACACTTGTCTGACAATTGCAAAGATGAACAAGTAGTTTCTTTCATTAAAGCAATGTTAGCTCAAGCCATCTTTAACAGGATAATCAGCTTAATGGGTAGCCAGAACTCAAAATATGATTTTAACAAGTTTGGCAGTTCTACATCAAAAACCTTAAACTATATAGTCTAGACTGCAGTCACCCAAAAGTCAGTGTACAACTAGGTGAAGAGTTTTACTCCTGAGCTGTTTACTATTAACGAGAAGACCACGGCAATGAAACTAGGCAAATTTTTTCCTGGACCAAACAATAGAGTTGCCAAAAGTCTGAAAAATATCAAAAAGCCCAGTTTATGAATAGAGTTAAGGATCTCTCATCAGTTTTGTCCTTCAAAACACTGAAGATGAGAATAGTTGAAAAGACAGTTAGAACTCAACAGAAAGAAGGAATAAGCCACACAGGAAACATTTAACCTATAAAACCAATGCAAAAAACTATCCAGCAATAACTGCAGTAGTAAACAAAATGACCAACAGACCTATTGAAGCAAATTTAGTTAGCTCAAAATGCATAGAAGTAGCTTCCTACTAGTGCATTTCATTCATTCTGCTTTTCTATCTATATACTGCAGTGATCACAGGCATCATGGAATGCTTAGTAAGCTATAGTGACTGACTGTAACAAACCATTTTTTAGTCTGGAAATACTTTAAAAGTCTCCGCACATTGTGAGAAGCATTCTCAGATCAACTATTTACCAAGACCACTAATAGTCACTCATACCAAAATTCAAGAAGGACAGGAAGATTGACTGCCAACACTCTGGCTCTTAGGTTCCTGCTATCAACTACTCTGACTTTATTGACCAATGTGCAGGCACAGTTCCAGCATTTCAACTTCAGTGCCAAACTCCACAACCAAATTGATTCAATCCATTCCCAGGACCATGAGACATTTGTGCTTTTATTTAATGTAGATGGCAAAAAGGACCAATTGAACAGTAAGGGAAAGATTTTTTTCTTTCCCCAGGAACACCAGAGTGACAATTCCATCTCTCAGTAAAGTTACTGTCCTTCAGTGTGATAGACTTAAGCTAAATCACTATCCAAAATGGCTGAGAACATAGTTCAATCCTCTGATTGGGTTAGAACTACTGTCACTTTAAAAACTCACCTAGGCTTTTCAAGAGCCTCAGGCAGGAAAAGACCACATTTTGGATGCCATCTGGATGTTTGGCACAATACAGCAAATATCCAGAATTGCCCTGAGGATGAATCTCCCAGTTCTCCAGACATCTAATGTACATTTTAGCATTACCAGGGTCAGGTGTGAGTCGATTTAAGTTCTTTTTTTAGAGAGGTATATAAACATGTTACTGCCAAGTTACCACTGCTGACAGCTATCCCCCATCTCCCCAAACCAGCACATCTTGTCTCAGAACTGTCCTACCTGATTAGCTTGGATCTGTTATTCTGCAAAAAGTAGGTTAACCAAACTACTATCAATATTACAGCTCACGTTCAAGTGTGCCTACCTGCTTTTTCCCCCAGGTAGCAGACATAGATTAAGAGTGGACAGACACCAAGATTGTTAACACCAGTTGGCTCCCCCCTCCTCAGTCTTATCCATTTAAGTGGTAAGTGTAAAGTTGGTACATGTTAAAACCATGGAGGTGCTGAACTATGCATTATTTAATGACAAATCTGCAGATGACACCAAGTCGAGTGGTGCAGCTGACATATCTGCCAAGGTATGGCATGGGATGCCATCCAGAGGGACCTGGACAAACTTGGGAAGTGGGCCCATGGGAATCTCATGCAGTTTAACAAGACCAAGTACAAGGTGCTGCAACTGGGCTGGGGTCCCAACACAGGCTGGGGAATGAACAGATTGAGAGCAGCTGGGCCAAGAAGGACTTATGGGTGCTGCTGGATGAGAGGCTGGACATGACCCAGCAATGTGCACTTGCAGTCCAGAAAAATCACTTGTATCCTGGGCAACATCCAAAGCGTGGCCAGCAAGGCAAGGGAGGTTGATTCTGCCCCTCTGCTCTGCCTTTGTGAGACCCCAGCTGAAGTGTGGTACCCAACTCTGGGATCCCCAGCATAAGAAGAACATGGACCTGTTGGATTGAGTCCAGAAGCAGGCCATGAAGATTATCAGCAGGCTGGAGCACCTCCCCTGTGAAGGCAGGCTGAGAGAGCTGGGATTGTTCAGCCTGAAGAAGAAAAGGCTTCAGGGAGACCTGAGGCCTTCCAGTACCTAAAGGGAACCCTACAAGAAAGACAGAGAAGAGCTCTTTACAAGAACATGCACTGACAGGACAAGGGGAAATGGTTTTAAACTGAGAGTAAGTTTCACTGTGATGGTGGTGAGGCACCAGAGCAGGTTGCCCAGAGAAGCTGTGGATGCCCCATTCCTGGAAATGTTTGAAAGCCAGGTTGGATGGGGCTCTGAGCAACCTATGGTCTAGTCCCATGGCAGCAGAGCTGGAACTAGATGATCTTTAAGGTTCCTTGTAGCCCAAGCCATTCTGTGCCTCTATGACATTAGCAGCTCTAGAAGATGTTAGAAACCTGTGTTAAGGAACATCCAGCTTGACTTCTACTTTCTACCACTGTGATAAAGTGGTATTTGTGGTTCTGGTGACAAACACAGAGGCTAAGAAGTGAGAATTACTAGAATATTATGTTTTCCTGTATGAGACTAGAAATAGCTTCACTGACTGCAGTACTTAGAGTTTCTAACAGACAATTACAGCCGCTACTATCCTTTCTTACTAAGGGTGGAATGGGTAAGTTACTGACCACTGGATGGACCTTGTCCCATCACTAAGCCTTTCCCAAATGCTTCAGAACAGTCTTCAGTGTAAAAGCCAGTTAATCCCTGTTCAACTGACTCGCACTTCATTTTAAGTGACAACCTTTGATCCTCTGGTTACGTCTATATTAGAAAGCTGTGGGGTGCAGCTTGTTGAAGCAATTCTGCTGAACAATGCAGTGTCAGAGGCATGACACTGACAATATGCCATATAGGCACTGTATGTATGAGGGACTCTAGAAATTGAAAGTTACTGACTGTAGTGGTTTAGATATGACTGACAAATATGAGTTTAAATGCAGTGATATTACTTTGATTATTTTGATCAAATAATTACATGTTCACAGAAGTCACTATTTCATTTTGAAATGTTAGGAAGCAGTTTGCTTCAAAGTTCCATTTCCCAACACAGCTGGTTTCTAACCTAACAACTTGCTAACTACATGAAACTTCAAAATCAGCTAGTCCTTCTATTCACTGTTTGCTATCGCTATACTTTAACACAGGAAAGTCCTGCTCACTACCCACGAAACAGCAAGAGCACAGAGATGGCAAGTGCTGGAAGCTAGACACCAGACTTCCACCAGGAGCTATGATTACATCTATCAACCTAATAGAAAAGGCATGCCATGCTCTCCCACAAAGACAGCAAATTTTCCCTCAAATAATTGCACAGCCCACACCAGGTATTTTACAGCAAGACTGAGACTTTTCATTGCTGCCATAGTCGGGCTAATCAGATGCTTTAATTGTCCAAACTGACTTCAACAGCTTACTGTTCTGTCGTTAAGAAGCTCAGAGGCAACACCCTGCACTTAGAGTTCAATGGGTTTTGTCCAACCTCACATGTATTTATGCAGCAGTATGATAGTCATGTTTGTATAAGAATCCACCTATTTTTTTTTGCATCTTTGCTAAACAGCAAATGAGAGAAATTCCCTGTTTAAGCACTAGATTTCAAATCCAAGAAAATCAGAGTGTAACCAAGCTAAACAATTTCTAACTAGCTGTCACATGCAGCATGTATGGAACAATTCCTCTGCATTAATATTCAAAAGAGTTGACATAGTCTAATTAGTGCCAGCAACAGCATGAATTGGTACTTCCTACCCTGCTTTAACAAGACGGACCCAAACAAGGAATCTGCCAGAGTTAAGCTATTTCATGCCTGACTCCCTCTGATCCATATCCCTTGGTGTGTTGCTCTGCAGCCAGAGATGCACTCTGTACTCCACAGTGATGCTACATGTCACTACAGCATTTCACAACACACAGGAGAAAAATTGTAAAGTCAGTTTGTCTCCAGAACAACTTTATCATGAGACTGAAAAAATGTTAATCTCTAAAATGGTCAATGTGTCATGGCACATTGCGTGTGATTGGAATTTTGTATCAAATTGCTGCCACTTTGCCCTACCCAGCACTCTTAGCCTGGGAGCATTTAAAGAACAAGTTCCCGTGAGCTGTTTGCAGTGACATTCAGAAGCTCTTCTCAACCTATTATTTGAAAAGCTGCTAAAATCCATACAATAAGGAATATTTTCATTACTGGCTAATGTAGAAGCCACTGGTACTGAGAGTTTGCCAGCCTTCTCTAGACAGTTAAGATATTTATTTCCAAGCAAGATCTAGAAAGCCCTGAAATCCCACCATTTCTCAAAGCATAAACTCACTCTGTTTATCCTCTTCTTGTGTTTCCATAGCCAGAAGAATTCTTTGAATATTGAACATTGTAGCACAGTAGCTTGAGAAGCACACTGTGCTTTGTAGTCACTGCTTACTGCCAGCTTTAACATCTGCAGGAATTTCACAAGAGGTATTCCTATATTTTCATGCAAAAATATAAACAGACATTCCCTTTCTGCAAATCACTTCTTTCTAATATGGCAAATCACACTTCTGAACCTCTGAAGCAAGTATTTGGAGGGAACCATTTACACAAGACTACTAAAGCAAAGCAATGGTTACCACTGGAATTCATGGAGAATATCTCTGACAGCTGTGAGACTGAGTCCAGTGGACTCACTACTGAGGGGAAGAATCTTATTTCTTACAGCATGCTAATACCTTTTCTGGAACCAATCAACTAAGATTATTTTCTTTGCTTTATGTCACAAGTTGAGAATTACCCCTTTTTAGCACTTGCCCACTCAAATTGCACTTGTGGATATGCACTTTGGTAACACCCTGTCCTAATGTGCACCTAAAGAAAACCAAACTGGTAAGAGGCAAAGTGGAGATTTAAGTAAGGTTAATCACCAAGACTCTGAAGCTGCAGCTTCTGAAGATACAAGGAGAGTTGATAAAGCTTAATTTACATTCATGTGAATGCCATACATTAGGAGAAAAGTGTATATTCAATATTGTCTGTGCCAGCTTGCCTCTGAAGGGCAATGTGCTTGACTTGTCAAACCAGCTTAATATCTGACTACTTGAGTCAGTATTACATGAAGGGCAAGAATTTAATACTTGCCTTCAGAAAAGTGGGTGATCAATGTAAGTTTATTATTTTTGCAAAGTATTCTAGTTTGTTTCATAAACTAATCCAAAAATTAGTTATGTTGAGCTCTATACATTATTTTCCTCCTGTCTACTATACTGAATGTAAGAATTTAGGTACTGTTTACATTTAAGGTAGATTTCCCCTGTCTATTTGATGTATACCCATCCAGCCATCCCTTACTCTCTGTATCAGAGTACTAGGAAAAAGTTTTCATTGTGATCTTGTAGGAAGCACAAAACTTCTGAACAATTACAATGTGACATCTTTTTGAAAATAAGGCTGAAACACCATCTATTCCATAGTGCATAGAAGCTCAAGCATTAAGCGCATTTCCATTGCTGACAGAAATTGAAAGTACCTGTAAAATAAATACACTGAACTTTATTTTAACCCTGTACTAGATCCAATGGTCATTTAGCATCACATTTTTTAACCCCATTTTTCATCTCACCTTGAAATGCCTTGAAAGGAGGAAATTCTAAGCTTATTTCCAAAACATTCAAAGAACATCTGTTTCAATTCTCCCATTTAACTGAACAGTCCTGCCCTGCTTAGTCAAAGTTACCATACTAGACTACCTTACACCAACAACATCCAGACAGTAGCATTTCTCATTTGCTTACAGAATTCAATCAGCACAGTGGTTATAAGCTTAGTCCAAGATAACAGATACAGTACTTTGAGTGGCTACATGACATAGTATTAAGCAATAGAACCTTTGCCATTATTAATTGTTTGGTACCCCACTGATAAGAATTCCTTCATTAGATCATCATATCACACTTGATCACATTTCATTAAAAGTATATTTAAAGAGGACTCTCAAAAAAGAAAACATCCAGAATCTGTTTGTATTCAGAGATGTCTGAAAATTGGAAAAACACCAAAAACCCAAGCTTAACACATTCAGCACTTATTTGGATATGTAGCTGTAGAGCTCCAAGCACAACAAGTCATTCTGAGGTGAAAGCTCATAACCCAATCCAGCTATTCCAGAAAAGTCATAAGAAAGGACACCTACACAATATTTCCCACAGAGGGGCGGTTTCTAGAAGGAAACAAAGTACACCTTCAATTCTGTTTCTTGCCTCTGTGCTCAAAATCTATGTGTGCAAGCCTTCTACTTTATCTGTTAGTCTTGAATGCTTCCAGTAAGCACAATCCTTAAGAAAAACTTTCTCTCATGAGATGTATATTTAAACATATGTGAGCAGGAAGCAGTCAGAAATTAAGTCTTTGATATCTCCATGAGTCTGCAGACATAATCACACAGAAGATCCCCCAAACCCGGCTGGGAGCTTTCTGACCTGCCTCAGCTGTAAACAAAATGATAGCACTCCTTATCTTTACCTGAAGGCTGCCCCTGGAACCTCCACCACCATATAAATTAGGAAACAACTTCAGAAAATGTACAAGTTTCTGAAAAAGCTCTGAGATCCAAGTTCTGCATCCATTTCTAATGCAGTTATTTATGTGCACATCGTTCACTCATTAAAAATATTTCTAGTGGTGAGAAAAAAATCCCCACATTTGAGGGCAGGTTATGCCTGGATTGTCTTGCCTCCTTGTCTGTGCCACTTGTCCAACGCACACAGCCAAGCAATTTTTCCATGGTTTCTTTGCAATAGTTGCCATTTTAATCCCTTTAACGTGCATTGTGGCTGAGGACAAGTTGTTACAAGAATACCTTGACTACTCTTCGAGCCTTCTGCCTCCAAATTCTCTACACTTACGAGACACTTCTCCACAAAGCAACTGAAGCCTACATGCCTCTGGCACAGAGCCAGGTATGGGTACAGAACAGCAGAAGTTTTCTGGTTTCCTTTTAGACTTTCAGGGATGCATTAACATCACTTAACACTTGCTTTAGACCTAATTTTAAAAAAATAAAATCAGTCCATAATTCAAGAAACAAGCTAATGCCACAGTACAAAAGCAGCTTGGCAGCCTCTATGACATGCCAGTGGCACAAGTGTATTCGAAAGTAACTGGAATACAGAGCTGCTTGAAACTGGAGTTTTCACATGGAAATAAACTATCTCACATACTGTAACTGCCTGAATGCCTTTGAAAGTCAACCATATGCATGGTTTCCTGTACTCTGTCCCATTTCTCATGGCTTCCTATAGATAAGCCTAAGAGTTATAAAAAAAGTTAACTTGCTCTTAACATCAGTTCACATATCTTAACACTCATTTGTCTTCATACAAAAGATGAGTTATTCCAGCTCTTCTTCAACTTAGTATTTAACCAAAATACTTCATCTGATTTCTCCATCCTCTTGGGGACATGTATGTGCCTGTAACAAGTTACAGTTCAGTTCCTCTCAAGGAGACACACAAGAATTTAGTAACGAATTTACATGCTACATGCTGCTTATCATTCAGTTCTTGAAAGCCTGTAGAGCATGTTTACAATACCAAAGTACAGTGATTTCTCTTTTGTTTGGCCAGCTTCATAGTCATGCTCTGCCAGTTAAAGCATTACTTCAGTTTTAATAGATATTTATACAAAGAAAGTCTAACAAAATCCTGGAAGAATGATATTACACCAAAGTTAACTCAGAATTCCTCAAAAAAAAACAAAACCCTTTAAAATCAAATTTCTCAACCAGTTGCCATTAGTGACATCCTTCATGAGACGCCAAAATGAAGCCACCATCTATGATCTTTACCACTCCTGCCCTCCAGGAAACTGCACTTCATACAGGCTGATGGGAGTGACAGTGATAGTCAATGCAAACACAAAAGCAGCAGCTAACACAGTTGCTGGCTTTTACTAGATCAGCTCCGAAGTTTCTGTGATATTGAAAGTCCTTTAAGCATTCTTTCAATATCACCTGACAGCTTCCTCAACATGTTGCATACATCTCCTGAGCATGCTGTGGTCAGTGCAGTGCTCACTAAAACAGCACTCTTGTCAAGTAGGAAGCTCTACTTCCTTGAAATAGACTCTAAAAACACTCCCCTATCATTAAGATTTCTTTGTTTTGCATCTCTTTACCACAATGACTCATCCCAGCATCCTATTTCGATAATGCCTAAAGGCAGCTAAAGTTCCTGCATGAACATGCATATAATCTGTTCAGCTTTTCAGAATGCTTCTTTCTTTATGCTGTAACCAAAATAATTTGACAGTATCTGCTCAGTCTTATTCTCAAGCTTTTTCATCACCTTTATTCAAAAAGTTACAATCTGTGTCTAAAAACTAAAACACTAGACTATCTCTGAAACACAAACGTGTAGGACAACAGTAATCTTCCTCTCTCCATCATTTTACATCACCTCCCCTTTGATGCTGTTACAAGAATTTGCATTACTCTGCACCTTACAACAAGGGGTACTACAACAAGAGGGCTATTTTCAGCAGAAAAAAGAAAAAGCATGAGCAGTGTAACACTGTCATGCTCTATTTGACAGAATTATCTAATCACAAAAAAAAAGCAACAAACCCATACCAAAACAACCTCAGCTAGCATGAGAAATTGAAATCATCCAGTAACCTGCAGTATTACAATAAACAGCACTACATTCATCACTTTTCCAACAATCACATCAGAAGCCAGCATAGTATCTGCATTATGAACTTTAGCAGATGCATCAACTATAGCATCAGTTCTTATCATTGACTGAGGCACAAAACCTTAGTTTGCATCACCCAGCTCTTTAAGGAAAGCTTCTTATGATGAACAGTTACGTACAAGCTTTGATCTAGTGAAAATAACACCCCTTTCTATGCTTAAGGGTTACTTTAATTCAACAGCCTTTTTAAATGCATCAAAATCAATTCAGAATGCCAGCACCATATTGCTTGCAGGGAAGTCACATGTAACATTACTTACCATAAGATTCAGATCTCATCAAGAGATCTAAAGCTGTTTGTCTGCACACACCAGCAGGCAAAATTATCTACGAGCTGTTGAAAGCCAGAAGACAGCTGGGCTGATGAGTTAAAAAGGAATGACTATCACATGCTCAGACACCGTGCTACACTTCAATAAAGAGCTTTAGAGAATATAGTCTATGATTATAGAAGCCATCTTCAACCTGGTTCTTTAACTAATAGCTTCAACATAAATCTGTTAACATCCTCAGGTATTTAGAAATATTCCTGTTTACATAAACAACTCCAGAACACACTCCCAGGTTGAGGACTTCAGCACCTTAAGACTATCAAATACCCTTATGGACACTAAATTAATCTCTATTTTACTAATTAACTCTCAGATGTGAAGTACTATAGGAGTCCAAACTATTGTTGCCACACTGGCTAAGCTAACCCAAAATCATCAAGATTAATTCTCATCTTTGTCTTGGGTTTTTTCATTGGGCAAGATCCCCCCCAGCCCTTTTGGAAACAGAATACCCTAAACTAGCAGATTAGGCTAAGAGTTTGGAGTGAAAAACAGTTTTTTCTTCCTTTTAAATTTCTGCTAGGGAAAATCTAGTCAGGAGTTTCATACAAAAATCTTATAAGATAGGAAAAATATTTCAGTGACAGGAAAAATTTAAATTCTTCAATCAATTTAATTCTTCAACCAATTTGCCGCAAGCCTCCAGGGATTAATCAGCAGCTTTTAACTTAGTCTTCACCTAGCAGTGTCAAAAATACACCAAGGGTAATAACCAAGAATGAAACATACTGTCTTCTGGATCATGCCATTAACGTATGGATGTATTGACAGAACTTCCCAAGCTGTAAATAGGTTCTGTCCAAACTTTGTGACAAGTTAAAGCTAAGTTTCTGCTTATCCTGTTGAAACAGATTGCTTTGGCAAAGCATACAGACTACCCAAGTCTGAGCAATGAAGGGCTGAGAAGTCAAACACGAGTATGGCAGCCTGCCAAACCCCAGGATGCTAACAGCCTCCCTTCTTCAATCTTTGGAACCCCAGGCTCGCTAAATATACCCAGATGATTGCAGCAGTTTGTACTGATACTGTTAATTGACTCACAGAAAGTTAAAGCTGATTCACAAAAAAGGAACACATCAGAATCGAAAGCTTGCCAACATTTTACTTGCTCTTCAAAACAGCAATTACAAAATATTTTCATTTGCCCTGCAGGCCAGCAACAGAAATATCCATGGTGTACTTCAGCACATGGCAGTAAGAAGGCTTTTTGGTTTGAGGAGTCATAGTTGAAGCGTTTTAGAGCAAAAAGACCAGAAGCTGAGGTACAGCTGGTCTGTCACAGGGTTACAGCAGCCACATGTCACACTTCCTCATTTCTCAGCTTCCACTGATAAGCATAAAGTTCATGGAAACAGTAACTACTGTGTTTTTTCCCTTGTATCTTCCAGTAGTGCAAGTTTAAGCATCAGCATTTGAAATAAAGTCTGCTTTTTCATATCCAAGGAGATATTCTGAGGGTGGTAGACAGGGATG